GGCTGTCAGCCCACCCCAGACCCAGGCCCAGCCTGAGGCCGAGCTTCCCCGCCGGTGCTCACCGATCTCCCTGGCCTCCTCCTCCAACTTGCTGAGACTTCGACTGAGGAGAACCACGTTCAGCCCCCTCCTGGCCAGCTGCAGAAATTTATTCACTTACTCAGTACCCGGCTGCCCCCCACCAGGTACTGAGGATTGAACCCAGGGCCTTACCACTGGACTACTGTGCCAGCCTTTTAAAATTTTTTTTCCGACAGACACTACCACCCCCAGTCATCTAGGCCTGGTTTCAACTTGCAATCCTCCTGCCTCAGCTTCCCAGAGTGCGGGGATGCCAGGCCTGCGCACCTGAACTGGCCTGTTTTGCATTTACTGAATCGAGGAAGATGGGACCACATCCTGACCTTGAAGCTCAGTGTCGGAGCCCTGTGGTCACAGAGCGGCCCAGGGAGGAGAAGGAAGTTCCAGGGAGTGCGGCACCAAAGGCAGAGGACAGACCAACACGGTGGCTGTGTGGGAGCTCAAGGGCTGCATGGTGGCAGGGAGACTCCACTTCCGCCCTCAGCAGTGTAAGCACCCGCTCCACACCCACGCTCCTGTCTTTATCCTCTCATCCTCGTGTGTCTACCGTGCACCTGCTCCTGCGGCAGGGTTGGGCATGCAGGGTGACAGGTGACACTCCCCATGCTCAGCCCCTCCTGTGAACCCTCCACTCAGCTGCAAAGCACAAACACAACCCTGGCCCTCTCCTGCCCAGAACTGGCCATGGCTTTCCAGGGACCCTGTGACAAAACCATGGTTCTTTCTCTGGCCCAGTGTGTCTTCAGCCACTCTGTGAGAAGCTAGGCATGCCAATTATTCATCTAGTCCTGACCAGCACCTCCTAGTTTTCCTGCCCCTGGGCCTTTGCACATACTGGTCCTTCTGCCCTGAAGCCCCTTCTCCTTGATGCCAAGTTAGAAAATACATGCATTTGGAGAGGAGATGTTGAGCGGCATTTCAATGCCTGTCTGTTCCTCTCAGCCTGCACACTAAGGGTGACATGTCATGGGGCTTGCTGTCCTTCAACTGTGAAGGAGGCTGTGTCCAAATGTCTCAAGAGCTCCACGGATCTGAGAGGCTGAGTGTGCAAGAGGCGTTCATTCATTCTTTCATTTATTCATCAAATGCTGGCCAGCATCCACTTCATGACAGGCGCTGACCAGGACAGTCACAGCCTGGCTCTGTCAGCATCACAGGGCAGTGGGCAGTGGGTGGGACACACCAGTCCCCAACAGCAATGGCAGTCAGTGGTCGTCACTACCAACCAACTGCAAAATCTCCCTATATCCAACTGTCTTTCTCCCCTTGTAACTCAGCTGCCCTTCTGTTCTTGTCGGCTCCAGGACAAGGCTTCAGCTTTTCTCCTGTCCTCCCCGTGCACCACACCCCTCTGTTTGGGTTGTTCCCATCAGCACAGGAACCTACCCTTGTCTTCCTTGTCACTCAACATCCGAGCAAAAGGTCCTCTATCCTCATCTCCTCCTCCAATAGGTCCCTGCCTCTGGGACCTGCTTCACCATAATCAGCCACCCAGATGCTCAGAGGCTGCTGCAGCCATGGTCCAAGAGGGCCTGGCTACTGTTCAAAGCAGACTTTGGCGTCACCTATGTAATGATGGTTTTAGGTGCATGCAGAATGCATTGTGAGGTAAAAGAACTTTCAGTCCAGATTTCAAAGGAAGGCCTGGGAGGCCAGGCAGTGAGCCCTAAAAGGGCAGTGCATGATGCTGTAGGAATGAAATCAAGATCTAGGGCACTGGATAAACCAGGAATGTGGGACATCTGCCAAGGACAGCTACCAGCCCTGAGTGGGAGCTAGCCCAAGAGGCTGTGTGGGTAGTGACCCACAGAGCCCGGGCTGAGCCTCCCACAGCCCCTTAAAATTCACATCTCAAAACTGTGCACCCCAGGGCTGGGGATTCAGCTCAGTGGTGCCGTACTTGCTTCTTGGTTCGATATCCGGCACCAGGAAAAAAAAGAAAAAAACTATGTCCCAGACTCTGGCTATAGAGCTACAGGACTTAAGCTTTGCCCCGTGGGGTTTTGTTTTACATCTGTTTGCTTGTTTGTTTGTTTTTAATTTTTTTTTTTTCTGGTACTGGAGATCAAACTCGGGACCTTGCACTTGCCAGGCAGGCATGGTGCCAATGAGTTACATCACCAGCCTCTGCTGGATTTTGGTCTTGCTTCAGTCTGATTTTTTTTACATCCCTTCCACTGCCCTTTTGGATTGGGAATGTTAACCTCATGCCCTTTTACTTGAGATTATATAACCTGTCTCTGATTTTTACAGTGATTCACTGCTTGGGTCTTAGAGAAGGCTTCGGTTTGGTTTTGTGGTTGTTTGAGATGAGATCCGGCTAGGCAGTGCAGGCTGCTTTTGAACTCAGTATGTAGCCCAGGCTGGCCTTGAATCCACAGTGATCTTTTTGACTCAGTACCCAGTGCTGAGATTCTAGATATGTACCACAATGTCCAGCTTTCGGAGAAGACTTTGGATTTCAAGAAATGCTGGGACTGCTGAGACTTTGGAGAAGCAATTATTGTGTTTTGCCTGTGCGTGGTGTATGTTAGGTGAAATCACTAATTTATCCTTGGGTTTATTTGGAGATAAGTATCAGTTGGTGTGCCAAGTTGACAAGAAGTGAAACATGGTGGTAAAGCCTAACTATGTCAACTTGACTGGCATGGGAGCCACAGGAGGGATTGGGGTGGCACACTTCGGGGTGTGCCTGTCACAGAAACATGGCTCTGGGCACAGTATGTGTGTCTGGCCCCCTCCTCACTGGCGGGTGCTGTTCCCTTGCTTGGCTTCCCAGCCAGCATGAAGTAAGCAGCTTTGCTCTACTGTGCCTTTTCACCGTGACGTTCTGGCTTTGGAGCCAGGCAGCCATGGACTGAGTCCTCTGAAACCATGAGCCAGCTGGGCATAGTGGTGCACACCTGTAATCCCAGCACTCGGGAGGCTGAGGCAGGAGGATCGCTGTGAGTTCAAGGCCAGTCTGGGCTACATAGTGAGTTCGAGGCCAGCCTGGACCACATAGGGAAACCCCGTCTCAAAATACAAAAAAGAAAAAAAAAAGATACCATGAGCCAAATAAAGCCTCTCCCCCTATAAGTCATGGGTATCAGGTATTTTGTCAGCCAGTGGCAAAGCTGGCTGATACCCCCAGTGTTGGAAGAACCTAAAGATCATTGAGTTAAGCAAAATTAGCCAGGCACAGAAAATTAAATACTGTGGCCAGGCGTGGTGGCGCACGCCTGTAATCCCAGCACTGGGGAGGCTGAGGCAGGAGGATCACCGAGTTCCAGACCAGCCTGGGCTACATAGTGAGTTCCAGGTCAGTCTCAACTGCATAGTGAGACCCTGTCCCCCCACCCAAAAAAATCCAATACTACAGGATCTCATTTCAGTGTGGAGTTGAACACAGGGCAGATGAGGGGGAATAGTGGTTAATCAGGACTGAGGAGATCAGGGGGATGTTGGTGAACGGACGAAAAGTTTAAGTTCCGAGGAATAAACTCAAGAGTTCTACGGCACAACATGGTGAGTATCGTTAATAACAACATACTGCATCCTTGAGAAGGAGAGAGACGTTATGCGTTATGCGTGGGCATCAACCACAGAGAGAGAGAGAGAGAGAGAGAGAGAGAGAGAGGGAGGGAGGGAGAGAGCGATCAATGTGATTCACTACAGAAAAGCAGCACAAGCATGTCATGAGCTGCAGAAAAATGACTTCACAAAAGCACCCCATTCCTGGAGAAAAGTCCCCGGAAGCCAGGCAGAGGGGCCTCCCTGACATAAGGGCCTAAGGAACGAAGGAGGAAACAAACCAGCGTCCTGCTGCCGTGACAGTGAGCTGTGACAGACAGACTTTGCCCCGGACAAATTCGCCCAGGGTGGGCATGGCCACTTCTCAGGGCCTCGTCAGCATCACACTGGATCCCTTGTCAGTTGGAGGAGGCGAGACAAAGAAAGGGCCCACCGATCAGAGAAAAGAAGGGGCCGGGGCGTGAGGGCGCACGCCTGTGAGCCCAGCACCGGGGAGGCAGAGGCAGAGGCAGGAGGATCGTGGCAAGTTCAAGGCCAGCCTGGGCTGAAGATGAGTTCAAAGCCGTCCCGTATTACATAACGAAACCCTGTTTCAGAAACAGACAACATAATCGAAACAACAGAATGGAACGAAACAAAACAAAAAAGGAAGAGAGAAATCTGTTCAAAGCAGTGGGGCCTTCCTGTAAGCCCAGAACTTGGAAGGCTGAGCCAGAGGATCATTGCAAGTTTGAGACCATCTTGGGCCACATACTAAATTCAAAGTCAGCCTGGACTATACAGTGACACTGTGTCTCACAAAATTAGAAAATTTTAAAAATTTTAAAAACCACCCTGAATTTCATAGTCTCAAAAAACAAAACAAACAAACAAACAAAAACTTTCCAGATGACAAGGTTGGTTACAGATAAGGTTAGGTACGATCAAATTATAGGTCAGTGATTAAATTTCTCTGTTTGGTTTGCTTTGGTACCTGGGATCGAACTCGGGTTCTTGGACTTGAAAGGCAGGCGGTGGAACCACTGAGCTAAAATCCCCAGCCCAGCGATGAGATTTTTTGAAAATGTATTCTCCTCCCAAACACTCCCCCTAGCCTCCGGCGCACTTACTCCAGTGTTCCGGCCACTTTCTGAAGCAGTTCTGGCCTGCCTTAGGGTGTGATCAAAAATACGGTAGCGGCCACTCTGGACGCCTTCCATTGGGAAGGTAGGCTAGCGCTCCCGTTACCGCACACCGTCATTCACCACAGTCACCGAATCTGGCACCGCGGAACTTCCGGTTCTTCCCCAAAG